ATTGTGGAAATTTCATAACGACACCATTTTAGTCGATATTTTGTAATACAAATTTAGAATGACAATGTTTTGAACTGATTTATTGTTTAGTATTTGTCATGTTGACTTATTATTAGATAGATAAATGACGATTTATCAACAAAAATAAACACATCTGAAGTACTCATTGTCTCTCTAGACAACAGTAATAAAAGAAGCTTCAAAAAGAACCAATTCGATAGAATTTCTTCACTGGGATTTATTTTGTGAATATTTTGTGTCAGTATCTTTAAGGTTACTGATAGGGGTTATCGCGTTGACCTCAATCAACTGAACTCAGACCAGCGGTCTATGATTTCTTAGACTAATTTCACCTCGTGGTGTATCTGAATCCATCTTTCTTCCAACTGACTCATACGTCCATCGTTAATAAAACTGGAGGTAGCCTGTGTTTGGACATACTTAACATAATAATTATCAACATGATAAGTTTCGTGAAGAATTTTCAAAGTAAGACAGTTTCAATTATGGAATGACTGCTGATAGACAATTTAGAAAAGATCATAAAGCGCTGGATGATAGCTGTCTCATTCTAGCATGAAACTCCATGTTTGAAATTATCACTCACCTATTAGAGATCGAACCCAGGATATTCACAACCATAAAATAGGTAAGATCATTAAAAGCAGACTACTTGGTTACTTTTTGACTTACATCAGAAACTGACCTCAGTCGATCAATCATTGAAACACAAGAAACACTGGATAGCTATTTCGTTCCAGTATGAAACTTTATGTCAGTGTGTATCCACTATCACTACATAGAAGGCTAAACTCAGGGCCTACAGGTTTTACAGCTAGCCTTCAGCATTAAGACTACCTAGCTAACACTGAATGATTTAGATTCTTTACTTCACTCGAGTCGAGATTGTCATTAAGGAGTAGCATACTCATCTCCAGCATTAGTGAACTAGGCATATTACAGCTTTTCACTAGATCTGCAGAAATTATCTCTCAAAACTAATCCTTACTGACACTTAATGCTCTTGCATTTAATCCTACATGAGTCATTGATATCTTAACTTGCATAGAATAGCTATCCATTGCTTCATATCTTTCAATGGTTATTTAAAACTAAAGTTCATCATTTATGATTTAAACTTGTTATATCCCCTGGTGAATTATGAATGGTAAATCTGAGGTCTATTTATGGACAAATGCAATATATCTATTTCCTATTGTATAGTTGTTAAATAACTGACCTAATCGTATTCGTGTTCCTCTTATCGTAACCTTTATTTTGACCTTTGAACTATTATTATTGATTACTTTCCCCCTATCCACAGCCACATTGGCCAATTATTGTGCAAATGTTATTTTTCTATTTTTTGGTATATGGGGTCTGTTTGGTTAGTATATAAACCCAGTGTGCTTGTGAATAATGATTCATATTGCCGAGACTGTTATTTGTGTTCTGGACTCAGCTGGCTGGGTTAGGCAGATCGCAGGATCGGTTAGCACTCTATTCTGCTCGTTCGGGGTTCGAGTCACTGCTCCAGTCGATAATTCGCTGCTCTCTAACTGACGGTGTCATCACCTTCACCCATCAACAAATAATCCACTCGGCCACAGATATAACAAAACTATTAAAGATTTTCATAGTTGAAATCATGAGTCAGTTGAAGCTGGATCACCATGGAAAACCTGGAAGCACTGGATGGCCGTTAAATGCGCACTGCTTAAGAGTCCCATAATAGGATGAAACGGTCGTCAAGCAATGCTTCCAGGTTTTCCATGGTGATCAAGTTTTAACTGACTAATGATTTCAATTATGAAAATACTAAAATCTTCACAAAACCTCTTCTGATCTATTAAAAAATTGAACCATCTCTATAACCATATTTATTGACTAAGCTTTTATACCAATTAAAATTGGTATATTTTTCTTTCATCTTTTATAACTCTATCCATCTTTCATTTATGTTCATTTCATCTACTATTATTCTTTCTCTCGAATCAAATTCCCAGTCTATCAGGTATGAAATTATAATTGTTGTTATTCCATATAATGATTTTTTGTTTGTTTTTTGGATGATAAGAAAAATAAAGCGTAGAATTTCCTTTTTCAAAGAGATAGGCAGAGATCGGTTACATGTTCATTGAAGAATGTAACATATTCTCAATGTAGATTATTATTATTATCATTACTATTATTATTATTATTAGTAGTAGTAGTAGTAATAGTGATAACAGTATGATTACTATGAAACCAATTAAATCTTCAAATCTAAAAATGAAATTCATTCATTCATGTATTTCTATTGAATTGTTACTTACATGATGACTATCATTAGAAGCTTAATCCGTTTCCATTAACTAATTCATAAACTTAAGTTTTAACTACACTGAAGTGAATAGAAAGTGAGAGTATGCGAGAGAGTGAGAAGTGAAGCTAGGGATAATAATCTTTTTTTTGTTTCAAACATTGATTTGTTCTCGTATTAAGTTGATTATTCATTCTTTGGTTAAGTAAAATTATTAATTATTCAAAGTTTCAGTACATACTACTTAAATGATGTATGGGTGATTCAGATTCAGTTGATATAGTTTTATAACACACAATAAAATGAGCTTTAAACTTAGTATTAATACACAAACATTGCTTGGCTAATATAGTATTAATAATAAATAGGAAACCGAAAAATTCTCTATGATATAGCATTGACTACTACTCAGTGATTAGTCAGTTGTAAATATCTCAGTCATACAAGATGTCGGTCGATATCGAATAACTCAGTAATACTGCCCGAGACCGTGAAACTGGGTTAGTCGGATTAGAATCTATCATGGAGCAATAGTTCCTCCAAGGCTCTTAGTTTTAGGTTTTGGGTCGACATCGTGGATTGGTTGAATTTAAACATTAACACCGTTGGACGCCAGTTCAGTGGTCTATAGGTCAAGTGTTCGCCAGAGAGACTGAAGGTTCTTGGTTCTAATCCTGAGTGTGGGATTGTGGATGCGCATAGTTGAAGAGTCCCATAATATGACGAAAAGGTTGTCCAGCTCTCCCAGGTTTCCAATGATGATCTAACATTAATCCTTTCATGATTGCAGTGTCCTTCGAGTTTGTAGGGTACATCATAATGAATAATTTTAAGTATTGTGAAACGTCAAAGAAACAGGATTTCTTCCTGATTACCTTCAGTTGACTAACTTATTCGTTACGGAAACCACCCATAAGATTTTTCTTTATGGAGATTTAATCCTAAGAAGTATAATGTGCAGATAGTAACATTGAATTGCCTTGAATAAAATCTGAGTTTGTGTCTCAATATCTGCGAATGCGGATATCGACAGTAAGATCTAGGTACATCCAGAAAATGAGTCTCAAACAGAACGTGATCAAGATCAAAGATTTCACTTCTATCCATATACCAGATAGAAGAAAACTTGTGCTCAGAAGCGATCCTCTCAAGATCCATATATATTAGCGAAAACTAATGAATTATAGTCTTAAAGATTGAAAATAGTCAATTACAAACGGTTCGCACTGAAATGGACACTGCAGTGATTTCTCGTTCTTCCAAGTATAAGTATTTTTAAAGATGATTTAAATATTTTCATTCTGTCAATAATATTTCTTTTTTTTAATATTCCTAATAGTTAAATTTTTATTTGATTTGTTCATTAGGATAGAATATGTGTGTGTGAGTTTGTAGCATATTTACCTTTGAACGTTCAATGTATATGTAATATATAGCATATTTGAATTTATTTAAGAAGTGAACACTGTTTATACCAATGTAATCATTACTTTCAGTCTTCATGCTCTTCTAATCCACCAAGTTGAGGTGCACTATAATAGCGTGTTCACAGAAGACATATGTAGATATTTTAACAGTTGAATTCATTAGTTAATCTAAGCTAGACCACCATTGAAAACCTGAAAGCACTGGATGTCCATTTCGTCCTAGTATAGGATTTCACAGCAGTGTGCATCCACGATCCTTCACTCATAGCTTGAACCCAGGACCTTTGGTCTTGCTCCCGAACGCTTAATCTTTAAACCACTGAGCCGGCTGGTATCCAATGGTGTTGGTGTCTAACTTCAATCGATCCATGATCTTGAGCAACCATTCATCCATTGTCTCAAATGGATAACTGTTTGCACTCGAAACGGATCGGACTCGATTGGTCACGGCTTCTCCCTAGAACTACAGAAATTCCAACTTGAAGCTTACCACTAAAGATCACATGATTTTCAGTGACTTTCAATGAGGATCTAGTTTATATTGACTCGTAAATTCACCTGTTAAAATACTACAATCCCCACAAGCTCTCATACTGATAATAAGTGGATACCTTAAGACAATTAATTTGAAATTCTCAGTGAAAATTACAGTCTCATATTCAATAAATGGAAAAGAATGTTTGAAAAAGCTAGATATTGTGTGCTGAACAATCGAAAAAGGGATAGTAATCCTCATACTTTGCATATGTTTATCAATGATTAAATAGTTTTTTTTTAAAAGTTTTAATGCTGTATTTCAGATTATAATACACTTAGTCCATTGCTTATCTATCACAATACACTGCGCTTCCAAACTCACTCTATGTTCTTGATTGTACTACTGATCGTTTGATCTGGTTAGAACTAACCCTGTTGTTGAATTTTTGCACTATACATTTACTCTATACATGTTGAGCATATAATTCGAGAGCCTATCATATCATATTTGAAAGTAGTATGTTCTGAATATGAATGTATAGATTGTTATACTTACAGTATGAGTAATGAAATTCTTACGGTGACCATTTCTACAGTACTTTCATGAGTTATAATCACTTACCTGATATTTTTTTAAAAAATTGGATTCAAACATACAGTCGCTTTATTCATTGAACCCATGAAGTTCATCAATAGATATTTTCACAGTAAATCATCTTTTATGCATAAAACTCAATTATTTTTCTCTTATCAAATCAAAATTTAATAGAAAATATAAATAAATCAATACTTACTTGATTCATCAGAGTATACTGTTAATGTTGCACTGTTTACTGCTTGACCTAAAGCATTGGTAGCTGTACAAGTGATCACTGCACCATTATATGATGGTAATACATTATTTACACGTAGAATAGAACCACGTGGTGCCCGAAATGTTTTACCAAATCTAGACTCTGATACAGATGTTCCTGAAACCTGAAAGTGTACAGATATATATACATAAAAGTTAATATTTTTTTAGAAAGACATTCAACAGTTTCATTAATCAATTTTAAAGATAACAATAACCATTCATCTAATATTTAGATGTTTGACATTGATTTGTTTAAACATCATCTTAATTGTCCAAAAACCTCTTATATTTGAACTTTCAAATGAAGACTAAAAAGAGGGAATTCGGAGAAGGATCTTACATTTCCAAAGGTAATTTAGGTGTATAAAACAAGGATATTTATAGGTTCTTGCGTAATTGTGATGTTTTAGAAGCTTTTGAAGGTAGATTCAATTTGGGGCTAAACCAAGAATTATCCAGTCAAGTTATGGATCATAATCCATTGTCTTTCTTGGGCTATCTAGAAAGTCGTATTGAATACTGGTTTCATAAAATATTTTCAGTTTTTCTCCCATTCGCTAAAAAGACTGCCAAGAAATTCTCAAAAGTCCTCAACAATTATTGATAACCATTTTCTATGCACTATTATATTTTTAATTACGTGTTTTGTGAGGATGATAGATATCAAATTTTTGAGGCACCATATCCTAATTGACTTATAGACTGTTACAGTCTTTTACACTAGAACCCAAAACGAAACCGAAGGGGAAAAAACATGGAGAAGAAACTTTTGTTTGTTTTGTTGTTCAATTTTATACAAAAATAAAGAACATTTATTGACTTTCGAGTGACCTTTGGGTTCTAGAAGCTTCCGCGAAGGATACTAAAATAAGAAATGCATTCGGATAAACTATAACTGAAATAAAATATTTTAATGTCAGAAAGGGTTTTGTGGATATTATAGTAATTTTAATAGTTGAGATCATCAGTCAATTGAAACTGTTGTGAGATTGTAAATCACTGATGACAATGGTGGATGTGTCACTCAATTTCGTGGATTAGTTGAAGTTAGACATTAACACCGTTGGATGACGGCCATCTCAGTGGTCTACAGGTTAAGCGTTCACGCGCAAGATCAATAGCTTATGGGATCGGATCTCGCGATGTGGGGTAGTGAATGCGCACTACCGAGGAGTCCCATTATAGGACGAAACGGCTTTCCAGCGCTTCTAGATTTTTCACGAGGGTCTAGCTTCAATCGACTGATGATCTCAACTATTAAAACTAAAAATATTTTGTTAGAATATATGCTTTATTCAAATAGAAATCAGTAGCTCACAAATGTAAATCGACTACAAGAAAATTAGTGAGGTAGTTTTGGACTTTTATTCTTGTCATTTTCAAGAATATGCATCCATAGATATGATTGGTTATTTTGTCACCTTTACCTTCGACGCTGATTGGTCATTTGTAATTTCATAAGTCTTGATTAAATATTCTATGCTTTAATGACAATTTTAAATCTGTAAATGTATATGTCAAGTCAAATTGAAATATTTGAAGTTTTGTCAGAATAACTTTGGCCGTCGTAAAAATAACCCATTGCAAAAAGCTCAATGCCGGTCTTCTCAATTGACCTAATCTATAAATATAACTCGTTCTTTTTTTAATGAGAATGGACGTATAATAGTCATCATTAGTTTTTAGTTAGTAACTAGATAATATTATATATTGCTTACTAGTGAGTGAGTAATTGATCTGTAAACAATTTCCCTCCACTGTGTCGATCTCAGCGTGAATGGAATAACAGCAATAGTATATGACGGTGGGAATGGTTGGTTTGAGACCAAATCGCAGATTCAAAGTACTTTTCTCTAATAAATGCTAATTAGAATAGAATCTAGATACAATGTTTTCCACTAGATGCCTCCAATCATGTAAGCCAATAAATCTTTCAATTTGTTTAGCAGATATAGATTTAGGTAACTGGCTTCGAGTAATCCTTTAACTTTGATGACAAATAATACTACTCGATTGTTTAAGCGGAAATGGTTGAAGCAAGACCCGAAACTGTGACTTAATGCCTAACTAATGATTGACCAGTTCATCGTGTAACATCAAGGTAAATACCAAAAAAGTATCCATTTAACATACATTAATAAGATAAAATTATGTTTATTTTATTAAAAAAACATTGAACTGAAATGTACCTTCCATTGAACTTTAGGTGCTGGATTTCCTTCAGCAAGGCATACAAATATGACAGATTGTCCAACAATTGTTATTACTGATTTTGGTTCTTCAATAATTTGTGGTTTTTCTATTTTAGGTAAAAAAGAAGTAGGCAAGAAGAAATTTAAGAAAAAAAATGACACTTTAGAAAAATGATACAGCAACACATTTGTGGTTTGAATAATCTTCACCAATATTTTAATATTGATTATGACGATAAATTTGGAATAGACGCAAACGCACATGATAATAAAATAGTATCACTACTTCTTATTACCCACTTAAGGACTTGAAACTTATGGATTCTACCACTGAAGAAGTCATTAGTAGTGCTGATAAGTTTCAAGTTGTAAAAAATAATCAGTTCAATTATAAGCAGAGATAGTTAGTGGCTAGCAGTCAAATCCAGGACTTGCATTTCATCCTGTTTGGGACTTGCCAGCTGGATGCATCTGTATCCATGAGTTGATGTTCAATCTGGGACTCAAACCCAGTATCGTTTACTTCAAACATCATCACATTATCTATTTAGCTACTAAGCTTTTATAATCACTAGCTTGAGCAATAGGGTTAGGTTTTAATTCATTTTGTCAGGGTTTAAGTGGAAATTAATTATTTTAATTGATTTAATACATGTTTTGATGTTAAGTTAACTATCATCTGAAGAATGTTCAATATTTAATTAAAACTAAACCACCATAGAAAACCTAGAAGCACTGCACGGCCGTTTCGTCCTGCTTAGTATATATAAACCATCTTTTTTTTCTTATCTCATTCTTTGAAAAACAATGAAACGAAGATGTTGGATCACGAAAAAGATCGACAGTGAAAAAAAATTGAAGAATGAAAGAGAAAGACTGAATGGGAGAATGAGGGAAATTCAATTAATGTTTTGTACTCGAAAATTTATGATAATAATAATGGTTAATGTACTTTATGAGACTTATTATTATTGACTTGGTTGAATGAACTAAATAATTGACTATATCTATATATATTTCTGTAAACAATGCATATTTAAATCAATTATAGTTGAAATCATGAGTCAATTGAAGCTAGATCATCATGGAAAACTTGGAAGCACTGACGCATGATTTCAGCTATGAAATTACTAAAATCTCCACCAAACCCCCTTCTGACAATGATCATATGCTCACTAGTGACTGGCATCAAAAGATATTTCCTGGAGTTCTAGTGAGAATGAGTGACCAGTTGAATTCAACCAGGTCTGTTGTGCGATATCAACTCAGTGAAAACAATGGTTGATGTGTCATTCAATTTCGTGGATTGGTTGAAGTTAGACATTAACACCGTTGGATACTGGCCGGCCCAGTGGTTCTAGAGGTTAAGCGCTCACGCGCGAGACTGATAGGTCCTGGATTCGAATCTCTTGAGGCGAGATCGTGAAATGTGCACTGGTGCTTCCAGGTTTTCCACGGTGGTCCACTTTCAATTGACTCATGAATTCAACAATAAAATTACTAAAATCTCCACAAACCCCCTTCTGATAAATCAAGTATATTGATTAGTAAATAATGATTGAATTGAAAATGTTGTATATACATATTATTAATCTCTATAGAAATTGATAATTTATTTATGTCCATTCGAATTATATGTAATTATTATTATTAAAGAAAAGAAAAGCTATTACCATTTCATATACCATCTGAACTTTATCACTAACGCATACTGGCACATACATATAAATGCACATATTGTTTTTTTGTTCTCATCATCGATATGAGAAAAGGTGACGGAGAAAATGAATCAATAGATTGAAGTAAGATGTAACCCACTGTTTCTCAGGCAATTATTCACTTTGAATATCATACTTACTGAATCATGATCATAGTGAAATAGATAATATTATTGATAATAATAGTATTAATGACATTCTACAACAATGTTGACTAATGGAAAGAGAGATGAGTTAATAATTCAACAATCAGACATGCCCATTTTATAGTTATTGCATAGTCGAAAGCAACATGAGAAGTAATGAAATTCTTCAATTAAGTTAAAAGGGTCTAGTGTTGAGGTCATTAACTGATATAAGTCAAACAAATTTTGAAAACGTGGAAGCGCTAGACGGAAATGTTGTCCTAGTATGGGACTCCCTAGCAGTGAGCATCCACCACTTTGCCAACAGATATCTCCGGCCTTGCGCCTGAGCACTAAAATATCTAGACCACCGTTCTGAGATCCATTTTTAAGCAAACTTAACTTTAACCATTTTCCATTGTCTTCAGTGGGTATCTTCGTCACACTGTACATGGTTTAGCTCCACTGGTCATGGCTTCTTATCAGATTCTCGAGACTTTTCTCTTGAAACCAATCGTCAGTGATGATTACCAGTACAGCAGTTCTAGAGATTATAGGATTCCTTTCAATCTACTTACTGATCTTGGTCAAGAATTTAAATGTTCCCTCATGAGATCAAAGGTTCTGAGTTCGAAGCCCGATGGAGGATTTCTGGATATGGACTGCTGAGGATCCCCACACTAGTAAAAAACAGTCGTTCAGTGCTTTCACGTTTCTGGTAGTTGTTTAATTTATATTAATTCGTGATCTCAACAGGATTCGATGATCTTCACTTTCACCATACTGATAAAACAGACTTAGTTGTTTATTCCGTCAGTTGATATAGGAAGAAAGAAATTTAAACAAATGAGGGTGAATATTGTTATGTTTATCATTATTTGACAAATAAAACCTAAATCCTTTTTTACAGGCCTCTCATGATATACAATTATAAACACCATAATAATAATTTTCAGTTTATTCTTTGCTTATGTAATCTTTCTAAGTGCCATAAGTCGACATTTATATATACTGCTGACTAAATGAAAACTACGTTTTTATGTCCATTTGAAAGACCACCGGGTATTACGCAGTTTCGCATTTACTTATGCCTCAGTTTTTGGTCAAATTCTATCGCTTGTACTGTATGTTAGCGACTAGTTTAAGTGATTCAACATCGTGTATAGTACGATGAGATGTAATTAAAGGTAGTGAGAAGAAAACCTTCTAAGTAATGACTCAAAAGAAGTCCACCACCGAATCTCAATCGGATTATTTAGACTGGATTTGCTTGTTATATAAACGTATGTACTGATATGTCTTTTTTATCAAGAAATGTCGTTTGGAGAAGTAGATTTGAACTTTTGTGATGCAAAACTAGCCTAAGAAAATAAAGCAACAAGGTGTTTGTATTGTTTCGTTCTATATATCAAATTGTCTAATGTGATAGTATTCATTGTTGTCCTGAACATCATCAGTAATTACTTTATGTAGAATAAATATTCAGTCTCTTCACCAAATATCTAAACTTGACTTTATAAAATTTAGATATATCACTAATATTCGTTAATAAAAATAAACTTTCAATTGAATTATTATGCTTCTTCTTCCAGTCTTTATTGTCTAGTATATCCCTTGAAGTTACTAAATGTAGACCATTTCTAATTGCCTGAGAAATACCTAATCAATATACAAACTCTTTATCATTCAGAAATTTGTTGGACAAATCAATTACTTTAAAAAGTGTTTGATTCATTTAAATGAATAGATACATAAAGATATGTTATGAAGGTTTAATTCATTCATTATGCTTAACCTTCAATTTGTCCGAATTCCAATTAGGCACTTATTTATGTTCAGAAGGGAGTTTTGTGGAGATTTTAATAATTTTATTGTTGAAATAATGAGTCAATTGAAGCTAGACCACCGTGGAAAATCTAGAAGCACTGGATGGACGTCTCGTCCTATTGTGTATTTATTCAGCAGTGCGCATCCACGAACCCGCTCTAGCGATATTCGAACCCAGTACCTACCAGTCTCAAACCAGAGCACATAACCTTTAGACCACTGAGCTGGCATCCAACGGTGTTAATGTCTAACTTCAACCAATCCACGAAGTTTGAGAAACCGTTCACCAATTGTCTTCAGTGAGTTGTTATCTCACAAGAGACCTGGTTGAACTCCACTGGTCACTGCATCCAACTAGAACTCCAGGACATGTATCTTGAAGTCGGTCACTAGTGAGCATATGATTATAATCAGAAGGTATTTTGTGGAGATTTCAACTATGAAAATACTGAAATCTCTACAAAACCCCTTCCGATTATAATCTCGTCATATTTCTGTTCCAGAGTATTCACCAAAAACAAAAAAACAAAAGAAACAATGATGACTCAGGGATAATAATTTCAGCTTAAAATATCTAGAACATAGATTGTTTCCAACTTGAGAGCATTCATGAATTTTTAATAATGATTAACATATGTCCAAATGATTTTTAGTTATACCAAAATTTCTCTTTGTCTATTATTTTTTTTCCCAAATAGAATAATAAAATAAATGAATATCAATCTTTTATTAAATATTCATTAAATAATTAATTATATTGTATTAATCAATAAAAATAATTAACAGGGTAATAAAACTGTAAACATTACCATCCATCTATCTCATATGATGATTTTATGTACCACATACACACTCTCTTTCCCCCCTCGCTCTCTGTACCTCCCTCTCTCTCTCTCTCTCTCTCTCTATATATATATATATATATATATATATATATATATATATATATATATATATATATATATATATATATATATATATGGTATGTTTGTGCTGGCATCAATATTTGGATAGGTGAACATATTACTTGAGTACTCTATACTTTAACATTCAATATTGAAAAGGATATATCATTTTGACAAATTTCACCTAGGACAAGACGTTATGGGATGAATTCTAATCAGATGATAACAATGTGATTACAATTAAACTTGACTGATTAAATGTTGTCATGAGTAAAGAATAGGCAACTATACGAAATAAATGCAATCTATTGAGTGTTAAAATAAGGGAAGTTATTATGTAAACATCGTAATAATAATTTATTTTACTAAGACATTGCCCTCAGTGATGTGTTATTCATGAATGCTATACTAGATAGTTCTTTTCAATAAATATTAAATCATTTCACAATCTAGTTGTATTTTGATAGTCATCATAGTTGAAATAAGTCTTGACCAAGAGGAACAGAACAAATTTTTTTTCTGAAATTCTCAACTCTTAATCATCGAAACACCGAATAGTGTTAGAATGCTGTTACAGATATGAGAGCGACTTCCCTATATCGACTTTCCATACTGTAAAAAGATACTTCATCTCGAGGTATCCAGGATGGAAACTAGGTTAAAGGTATTCGTGTCAACCTGAGAGAATAACCACACAACCAAGAAATCAACGATATGAGACCAATTAACATGATCATTTTGAGATAATCTCTTCAGATATTAGCTCCATACTTTAACAACCTTACTAACGTGAGAGAACTTTGTAAACCAAAGTTTAGTATACATTTTTTCAGGCTTGACCTTTTATAATCCACTTTATAACTTCTCAATTTGTCAATAAATTCAAGGAGTTTTTATTTCTACGTGCTGACATGAGGTCTCTTAATAAATTATGTCTTTTTTCTTATTTGAAATTGACCTGTTTCCTTTTATTGAAAATTTAACAGGATACAATCAAGGTGATCTTTCGGATATATGTCAATAAACCTTTGTGTGTGTGTTTGTGTGTATGTATGTATGTGTTGATTGTTTAAACATTATATGTAAGAAAGATAAATATGTAATCGAAAAGGACAGAATTTTTTAAGTCACTGAGTTAAGGAAGTAATTCAAATAAAGTTGAACAACGTGTTGTATGTTAAATGTTCAGTTTTTTTTTGACATGTCTATGTTTCTTGTTGCTAATGAAATAAATGTCACGACAGTAATTGTAAAATTTTGATAACCAGATACTAATCAATGAAGTAAACAAGTTATTTATTATACTTATTTAAACACATAAATATTGGTACAAAGGGGCACAAGATATATATGCGCCACACAAATCTCATTTGATTTGTGTGAGGGCTGTGATACTACCCAGGTGCCCAGACCGAAGCAGATGGTTTTCTTAGGGGGCCAAACCCGGAGCCTTTGACCTAAAGGTCTGATTCACAAGGCAGTGGAGCATCGTGAGGAGATGCAATCCCATGGTAGCCGGTGACCAACGATTGATTCATACGCCATTTGTTCTCTCAGGATACGTGAGCCTATGTGCACCATTGATTTGGAATCGGGGTTTTCCAACTCTCCTAGGTTGCTCTTCCATATCCACCGGCCCGGTAAAAGCTCCGAATATTCACTATTCGTCCTCTCAATTTTGTAAACAATAACCCCACCACGAGAAGGCAATGAGTAGGAATTCCCTGGTAGACGCTGTATACGCTTGGCCATGTGAGAACATTTTGAGAGGGAGAGCGGACTCTCCTCATTCTCGGTCATACCAGAGAATATCAATTGCTGCCTTATTACTGATGAAACTTGTTGTTTAAATGTTTTCATAACTTATAATATTACACCACTATTATATAGATTGCAAAGTTTAGATGAAATTATGTGATATCATACAGATGGTTCCTTTTACAGATTTAAACAAAAGAAGTATTAAAAAAGAGCAGTGACTAGTGCAGTTCAACCAGTTCTGTTGTGAGATATCAACTCACTGAAGACAATAGTGGACGGTTTCTCAATGTCGTGGATAAGTAGAAGTTGAATATTAACACAGTTGAATGCCGGTTTTAGAGGTTAAGCGTTTGTGCGCATGACAGATAGGTTCTGGGTTCAGATCTCTCGAGGCGAGATCATGGATGTGCACTGCTGAGGAATCCCACAATAGGACGAAATAGCCGTTCAGTGCTTCTAGATTTTCGATGGTGATCTAGCTTTAATTGACTCATGTTGTCAACTATAAAAAACATTTGTTGCTTTGTGTGAAATTTTATAAGACTTATTATCTTGACGATGTGGAACTTCCACATTTCAACAAACTAACTTAAATTGACAATGAATGACGTAGTATTGTAGTACTGGACATCCATCACTGAATGAGTTGTTAGCAATGATAAATTGATTCAGTTGACCTTAACTGTTCCAAAATTTAATAAGTATACGGACTCAACAATAGTCTTATACCTTACACTATCAATATAATCTTTAGTGTTGTCACTGAAGATCGGAACACAAATGAAGAAAGTTGTCTCCTTTAATGCCTTGTTAATTTACTTCGGACAAACTATACACAGATCATGCACTTTGAGTTCTCTATTTTTTAGTGTTAAAAATTTCTTTACATTAATTAGTAGAAAGCATGAGTCAATTGAAGCTAGACCACCATGGAAAACCTGGGAACACTAGACCAGTGAGAAGCAGTGACCAGTGGAGTTCAAAACCACGTCTGTTGTGAGATAGGAACTCACTGAAGACAATTGGTGAATGGTTGCTCAACTTCGTGGATCAGTTGAAGTTAGAAATTAACACCGTTGGATGCCAGCTCAGTGGTCTATCGGTTAAGAGCTTCGGCTTGAGACTGGTAGGTCCTGGGTTCGAATATCGCGAGAGCGGGTTCGTGGATGCGCACTGCTGAGGAGTCCCATAATGGGACGAAACGGCCGTCCAATGTTTCCAGGTTTTCCATGGTGATCTAGCTTCAATTGACGAATGCTTTCTACTATGAAAAATACTAAATCTCCACAAAACTCCTGATAATTACATTAATTACTTTGTTAAGTCGGCTTACAGTAAACTCTATCAGAGCCTCCAGTGGCTCATAAAGAGATCAACCAATCAGCGATTAGTTAGAAGCTATGCTACTAAAATAACGAGGTCCTGATTGGCTGTTTAACATACTGCTACTATGGAATCTCAAAGTCTTTTAATTACTATAAAACCCCTGTTTTTCTGTACATAAATGAACCTTGTAGTAAAGCGTTTTCTCTGATACTGATCTGAATAAAGCGTTCAACCTACAAGATATAATATACTTAAAACAAACGGATGGGAACAAAGTGAATGATAACCGGCACGGAGACATTTACTCGCACAGAAAAGACTGTTACAGATAATAGTGATAATAAAAATTTATGGTTCGCCCTTAGAGGGAAATTTTCTTATCACTGTTTTTTTCCTCAGTCTATAACATTAATTAATTACGTTTCTATGAATCGTTCATTGTAGTGTAAATAATATACGGGGTGTATTATGATTTACATGTATATCATTCAAGGAGTTTAATTAAATTGAATGAAGAATATACTTGTACAGTCACAAAGTTTCAATTCAAGTATCCGAAGACGTAACTCTACTTGAAGCCCCTCTGGGGCTATTGCTGGTCCCAAGTCTGAATAAAGGAGAACGGTTGGACATGGGGTTAGCGAATCCATCCCATAGAAAACTAATTCGCTATAAACACACCAATACGAAATTCTAAAAACGAGTAAGCCAACTTTAAAGTAAATCGATCTTTCTAGAAAGCTGCCAAAATTTAAATTTTTATTTTTCTAGTTAAGATAAAGTAATACGTTTAATATGCATTTGACCTTTTCACTCCATTTATTTAACTCAACTAGACATTTCCTATACTAGAACAATAAAGCCGTCCAGTGCTTCCAGATTTTCAATAATGGTCCAACATTAATTGTTTCATGATTTCAATGAAACTCAATAACCACCACAACCGTGTACTGATAATTTTGATGGTGTTGAATATCTTTTCAGATCTCTAAATCTTTATATACACTGTCACTATGATAAAGAATGACACGGTTTTTTCCATTATTGATTGAATCTACACAATAATGTGAATTAACGAGTTTCTTGTCTACCTAATCCTTAAGGTTAATCGAATTATTCTCCAGGAAACGCTAATAAACCTAGGCTTCATATTAGTTGGTTCCAATCAGTAATGAATACTTGAAATCTTGAAAAAACTGATGCTTCTGTGGACCTTAAGCTCTCAAGATCAACCTACACAGTTTGTAAGGTCATCACTAACTTATTCAGTCAGTCAATTAGATGAACAGCCAACTAAGAAAAAGATTATATTAGTTTATGGAAACATTCCCGTTCAAGTTGTAAGCAACACATCGATAAACGATGTCAGTGAGCTTTAAACTTGCATGAAAAGTTTTTCATTAGAAGATTGATGTCAAATAGTTATGATTTGACGGTCCAATCTATCAATTTTGAAGAATTCGATCTAGAATGGTTTCCGGTACCTTTTCGGTTGCTCCATGGGGCTCAATTATGCTATTTCGGTTGTATTTGATATTTGCGTCTGTTAATAATGTAGAACCTTCATTTTTAAACACTCCACTTACCAAATTTAATTGACGCATCTAGTTTACACTAATGCATACTTTAAAAAAAAAAACCAATAAAACAGAATATAGACAACAAACCACTTCTACTAGCTACTTATATAAGCTTATAATTAAGTAATATATTGAATCATACTAAAAAACAACGATAACTTACTTTGTATGTAATAAATTGTTTGATCAGAATGATCATAATTCGTAAAATAACTGCGCCTTAATCTTCCTAATACTATTTTTTTGTAAAAAAAAGGTATTAAAATTATAATAATTACTCTCAGACTGATGATAATTTCTATCATCATGTTTGTATTGCTCTTTCAAACCATCATCAGTACTACTTATATCATGATAATAAGTAATATTCTGAAGTGGTGTAAAGTTGTCTAGTAGAAAGTGATATTTTCTCATATATTCTTTATTGATAAATAGTTTTTCTGAACGATTTAACTCTATTGGTAATCTTTTTGATTCAGGCAGTGGTCGTATATGATTGTAGGGGTTGTTTAAATCTTCAGTGATATGGTTGATTAAATTTGGGATTTAGGAGGACGTTTAATATAAAGAAAAAAAAATTAAATGATAAAAGAATTAGAGCAGAGATTAGAAATTTCTGAACATAAAGATGATGCTTGAGAAGTAAGTGATCAAAAGAACGTGTAAGTGTATGAATGAGAGTGGGAGAAAGCAATCTCACATAAATATGTAAATACTCACACGCACTCACGCCAGTACAAAGATAGATGTACAAGCAAAAATTGAATTTACACTGAACATATTCGAGAGTAGGCTGAAAATTGTAAAGTAATTATTTATTCTACTCATAAGTAGTCAATAAATCATGCACATACAAGATTGTGTTTTTTTTTAAAAAAATTGTAAAGCACATCTAACAGGTTAATTAATAATTCATGAACATGCAAATTGCAAATAACAGAAAAATTTCGTCAAATGCATTTCGGATGACTTTTTTTTTCCCTAAAATGATCATTGGCAACGCAAACAGTTCAAGTGACAAATAATATTTGGACACTATGCATGACGGTGATATTGTGGTGTGGTCTACTTATATCCATATAAGTAGTATATAGTGTTGGTCAGACATATAATGTATTTTGGCAGAAGACCGATGAGGAAAGAACTAAAATGAAGCGCAATCATTTGGAAAATACATGAGCAATGGAATTGGAGAAGAAACAGTGAAGATTGAAACAATTGGTTGTTAATTTGCAAATTAACTGTCATTGTTTGGTCAGAATTTACTGACATAGTCTGTAAATTTTGCTTAAATACATTCGATTGTCCCCAGTCGTGTTCTGTTCACTACAATATTTGTTCTGTTTGATATCATAGGATGAATATTGAGTAAGCATAGTTCATGGAATTATCACACGAGGAGAACAGATCTACATTCTATAGTCACGTTTTGATCGAACATTGAGTAAGAAAGAGCTTTAAGGCTAGTAAACAATAAGGTCTTGATTATTCTCATTGGGTAATGAATCAACTGTAATTTGGAAGTTCATCAGTTCTACTGATAATATAGGTGAACTGATCGATAATCGGATAAGAGAGAGAGGTTGTTATCGGTCACTTATGATAGTAAAAGACGTATAATATACATCTCCCACCTATCCGATTATCGATCAGTTCATCTATTTTATCAATAGAACCGGTAGACTTCCAAGTACCATTTGACTCATTACCCAATGAGAACAATCAAGACCTTATTGTTTACTAGTCCTAAAGCTCGTTCTTACTCAGTGTTCGATCAAAATGTAAGTAAAGAACGTATATCCATTCTCTTGGTATGACAATCTAATGAAATATACTTCTTCACTATTCGTTCCCTTGTATCAATTCGGTTTACTTGTCTTAAAATAATTAAAAAATTAATAAAATCAAGGTTAAACATTCAAATTGCTAGGTAAGTTTTTATCTTTACCAGAAAACGTTTTTTTTAGTTTCCATTTAATTACTTAGATAATAATTGGTTCTGTCCTAAAAAAAGTGTTTACATTATTTATTTTTGTTTTACCCTATGTACCGATTATTTCTTTATTCAAATAATCTCAGTCAGATACAACGTAGGACCAGGTACATATATGCATCGGTCCAACTTGCCATATATCGTTAGTACTACAAGATGAACACCGGTTTCATAGAAGTAGTTAATTTAGTGGTGATAATATATAAAAGATAGGTTGTATATAAGAATATAGCACAGAACGAAAATAGGATATGAAGCAATTTTAATCTCAAGGTTTAAGAGAAGATAAAGAGTGTATACACCTACGCCAATGTGATCGATTCTGAGCCATATCACCTAGAGTCTCTAAACATTGGTTACGGTAGCCGCGCAAACCTCGATTCTAATGATCAACATAGAAATTATTCACTTTTGTTTTTTCTTACAAGAATTCAATTTTAAAAAGAAATGCGTTTTGAACAGACAGAAAACGAAAGTGCTTTCTTAGTTAGTATGTTAACACAAAATGGGATTATATATGTATATGTATATATATACGATTACGGATAGGTATATAACTTGTCCAAGACAATCTACATACTACATCTTTCTGTTAAACACATTATCTTTTTTCGTGCTTAATGTTCAACATTCAATATTTAATGTGACTCATTGTATCATATAGAGTATAATCATGACAACTAAAGCGCTTAGTTTTTTAGTCGCTTTCTTTTTGTCTACATTAACCGCTTATTTAAATAATGACAAGAAGACAAGATAAGACAATTTCATAATGTTTGAAAAAGTTAAAGGGGTTATATTTTATATCTTAACGAAATGTAACTAAATATTTGAATTATAAAGAGAAGATATATTCTTCATTTCCGTAGGTGTTTTCCCATAAAAAAAAGAAATTGGGGTAAGTGTGAATAATGTGAAATATATTCAATTGATGTGTACTATCTAACAAAAATAAGTTAGAGGGGTTGTTTGTGGAGATTTTTAGTAATTTTTTTATATATAGTTGAAATAATGATTCATTTGAAGCTAGATGACCGTGGAAAACCTGGAAGCACTAAACGGCCGTTTCGTCCTATTGTGGAACTCCTCGGCAGTGCACATCAATCATCCCGCCTTGTGAGGTTCGAACCAGGGACCTACGAGTCTTGCGCCAATAGATTACTGAGCTGCCATCCGATGGTGTTAATGTGTAACTTCAACCAATCCACGAAGTTGAGCAACCATTTCATTAATGTCTTAAGTGAGTTGATATATCACAACAGATCTGTTTGAACCCTACTGAGTTCAAATCTCGCGAGGCGAGATCGTGGATGCGCACTGCTGAGGAGTCCTACAATAGGAAGAAACGACCATCCAGTACTTACAGGTTTTCCATGATGGTCAAGCTTCGGTTGACTCATGATTTCAACTATATATGAAAAAGTAAGTTAGGTAATTTATATTTCGAATTTTATAGAACAGATGGATTGTGGTCAATAATGAAATCTAGGATGTATTATATTATGATTTAGATAATGCCAACTGGATTCACTTGTATCTTCGTGTTGACGCTGACACTGCATTTTGAACTCAACATCACTCTTTTCAAATATAAAAACCTTTTAATCACTGTACTAGTAAGTGAATTCGGGAAATTTCAAGTCCGGATATCAACTCCGGATCTACCAAATAAGGGTAGGTGTTATATCCCGATGAGAATAATGAACGACAACTGTTGAAATCTATTTCTGGACTATTACTATACAAATATTTTTATTGTATAGTTGTTAACTAACTAAATTATTCATATTCGTATCCTTCTTATTATAAGCTTTATTTTGACCTATAGACTATTACCGTAAGATTTAACATTCTTGAGTTATCCCTAGTCCATTAAATACTGTTCCTCCTATTCACAGCCACATTTGGCTAAATCTTGTACAAATGTTGTTTTCTATTTGATGGTACGATGTTGTCTGTTTGATTGGTATATAAACCCAGTATTTATGAGAAAAATGATTCCTATTGCAAAGACTATTATTGGTGTTCTGAACTTAACTAGCTGGGCTAGGCAGAAAGCAGGACTGATAAGTACTCAAGACTACTTATGTGTATCATTTTGTGTATCATTGCTCTGATCGGTGATTCACTCCTCTCTGATTAACGGGTAGCATCATGTTCATATATATCAACTGGGCAAGTACACATAAGCAACCGATATAACATTAAGTCTACATAGATACCAACTTGTTCAATGGTTTCGATGTTTGTATGATCATTACACTGGTCTTCATTATCTTGCTTTTAATATTCTTGACAGAATTTTGATCAGATTCAGTCGGTATATATACATTTTATATGAATTATTTCCATATAGTCTTCTTGTCATACGTTTCGTTCATCTGTTTTATAAGACTTCCAACAACATAACTATATTGGAGGCAATCCATACAGTATCCACATATACCAACTAAGATTTATCGAAATTCAGTCAAGAATATTAATAACAGGATCATTTTAATTCACTTAGTATTGTTTGTTTGGATCTTCCCATCGATGTGTTTAGGACTGCAACTGGTCAGTCTCTAATTGGAATATGTGCATACTGTGCGTATTGCCTCGATATACCTTAATTCACATACCTTAATTCCATCTCTGCTTAGGATCATTTTAAATTTTAAATATTCAATTTGTTTTAAACAACCTAGAAGAAAGCGGATTTTTTAAAACTTTTTTTCTTTTATGAAAAAAAAGAATTGATAGATACTTGTGAATTTTCAGGGTATAAATCAAGAGTTTTATTTTACGCTAACTTGAATTTTTCAGCTTAACAATATTTTGAAAAACTACAGTTAGTCTTTATTTCGAATCTACGAGTGTGAAAAGATTGAAGATTGAAAGAAGAAAATTTAAACTAAAGTATATATATATATATATACATATATATAAGCAAAGATGAATAGTGGCTGGCAATGGAATCCAGGACGCACTTTTCGTCTTATTCGAGACTCATCAGTTGGATGTACCTACATCCCAGAGTTGATGGGACTGGAACACAGTACAATTCGCTTGAGACGTCATCACGTTATCCACTTAACTACTGAGCCCTGCTATATATATATATACCAATATGGTCTATAAATCCCTGCCAGGTGTATTATGTGATATCGTGATATCTATTAGAAAAGGCTTTTGTAGAGATTTTAGCAATTTTATTGTTGAAATCATGAGTCAATCAATTCTCACGGGGCGGGATCGTGGATCCGCACTGCTGAGGAATCCCACAACAGGACGAAACGGCCGTCCACTTCTTCCAGGTTTTCCATGGTGGTCTAGCTTCAATTGACTCACGATTTCAACTATTAAACCATGATGTTTATTAAAATTGTTAAAAATAAGTCGCCATGTGAATGATAGTAAGGATGTCGTGGTTTTTACCACATAGACGCTTGTTTACATCTTTTTCATCTTTTGTTTTTTTTATTAAAGTCTCCTTACAATTTATGAATTTAGTCAATAGAATCCAACATCAAAACTAGTTTA